ACACGAAGCTGCCGTTAACCCACGGACCCTCAAAGGAACACGAAATGAAGCCCCTGGCTCTGGGGGAGGGAGGGACGGACCCTGCCACACTGCTGGGGAGAGGGTCCCGGCAGCTCCCGGCGCTCACTCCGGCAGCTTGTGCAGGAGCAGCGTTTTTGAGGACTTTCCACCATTTCCGCCTCCGCGAGGGGCACACGGAAACAGGGAAAGGAATCAAGTTTGGGATGGCTTCAGGGCAGCGGGGCCTCGGCATGGCCTCGCTGAGCGTGGCATGGGGACGCCGGCACGGTGCCGCTGCAGCTCGGGCTGCCCCAGTTTGGTGTGGGGAGGGGGGGAGGCTTGGAGCAGCTGCAGGGATGGGCTCCAGATGTGTGGGGAGCGGGAGGAGGTGTTCGTCCCCATAAGCCTTTTGTACGGTGACCGAGCATGTCTGCGGGGCTGGGGAGACCCCGAATCCTCCCATGAAGGCTGTCAGGTTTCCGCGGCTGTTTGTGGGAGTTCTCCCCTTCCCGCTGCCATCGCTTGGCCACGGCAGGGAGACGGGAGCCAGCGGGATATTCCCGGTGCAGCTTGCCCCTGGCACGGGCTGCCACAGCCCCTGCATGGTGCTGGCACGTCGTGGCACTGTCCCCGTGCTCTGCGGTGGTACCCCCCAGCCGGTCACAGCAGTTTCCCCCACCCCCATCCCGGAATAGGGTGTATGGGGGATGGAGCCCATGTGGAACCTCAGGAGGGGCTCAGTGCAGCAATCCCCACTCCCACCCGTGTCCGCAGCCCCCATCCTCACTGGGGGAGTCCCCTGGAGCCCTGACACCCCTCACCCCCCTCCCAGTGCCAGCGTCCTCGCGCAACGGCAAGCTGCCATGGCGACACTCTCACCCGGCCAAGGGAAGAGATGGTCGATGCCGGGTCCCCGCTGTCCCCACACCTCGGTGGTGCCTCTGCTGGTCCCCAGCTCCCACAAAGCCCCACAGCCGCTTACCTCTGCGGAGGGGGTGGGGGGTGGGGACAAGTTGGGGACCCCTCGGTCCACCCACTGCCTTGTCGCTCCCACCGGCGGCGGTGATGCCCTCC